AATTGCACTGAAATTTTGAGTATTGAATTTTATTAAAAATAAAAAAATTAAACGTTTTATTAAAGAAATCAATAAAAATATTCGAATAATTTCATTTCATTTTATATATTCCACCTTGTAAAACGTATAAAAAGGAATGCTTATGCCAACAATTCGCATAATTTCCAAACGTAATCACATTATCACCTATGTAATAGTTTGCATACATTGGAAAGTGTGAAGTGTGAAATGTGAAACCATAACGCAAAGCTGTTAAATATTTTTCATCTTGCTCATATTTCCATTTCAAGAGAGACACGATGCTTTTCAAAGGTTATAAACTCAATGATGTGCAAAATTTAATAATTGAAGTTACGAACAAAGTTACTTCGATAAGTTATCTTGACAATTTATTTCGATAATGCCAAATTTTATTCGAAATTTTTAACTAGTTACTTTTTCAATGAGCTAATATCCAAACTCTGATTACAGTATACATTACAATTAATAATTTATACATAAATCGATCGATTTATAAATTTTTTGCAATATTCTTCTCGTCTTTTTCTCGAATAATATCGAAGAAAGAAATAACACATAGTTACATATATGTGAAATATATATATATATATTATATCGCAATATATATAATATAATGCATAAATTGAATTGGTTATGATACGAAAAAATAAGCTCCAATTGACATTTTTGCATATCAAATTCTTTATATTTGTTTTCATTTCTAGAATTGGTCCTTTACATGTCCAATATGTTGTTTCAATATTCTATATGTATATATATATGTATTTATATTTGCATATTATCATTCTGATACAATAACGATACAACAAAATTGTAATTTTTTTTTTTTTAGTTCTATATATTTCCACGAATTAACACAGTGTGACAATTCAATGTAACATTTTTTTTTAACATAACAATTGGTTTTCTTCCAGTCGTAAAAAAATAATTGAAGAAAAAACAGAATAATTTAACCAATATAATTAAGGAAGGAGACTGCTAAATAGAAGATTGACTCTTATATAAGCTAAAAAAAAAAATTTTCTCTTTTCTTGCGATAGCGCTTAATAAATTCATCAATAATAAATTGCATTATTAATAATATTTATTTGTTATAAATATCGATCGAATTCGAATTGTATTTCCTTTCAATAATAATTAAAGAGACAATATATTTTTCGAAAACAGGTATTGTCTTTCTGAAAAAACTCGTTTAATTAATTATTCAAACAAATTTCATGGATGTTTTACAAAAAAAAAATTCGCGATTTACAAGCTTCGATTTATTTATTTTTCAAAATTGCAAAAATTATCTGTCCACACTTTCCTCTTGTACGATTAAAAAAAAATTCATTGAAATTAAAATAAGAGAAAAAATCCATAATAAATAATTGCTTAAAAGAGGATCGAAAGAATTAAAAAAAAAAAAAAAAAATGGCTTCCTCTTTCGGATAATTCAGATCGTTCGTATATATATATATATTCATATTCTTGAAAATTTTAGAATCATGAGAAAAATGATATTGAAAAGGAATAAAACGAGATACTTAAATATCATTACCAATGATTCCATGTCGAAAAGGTCAAGATCTGAACTAGCACTTTCTAAACTCTGGTTCAAATAAAAGTAAATGAACTTTGTAACTGTCATATATTTGAAAGTTGCACGCGGTTCAACATCGAAGTTGAAATTGTGATTACAAGTGTAAAACTTGGAAGGGAAAGTTTCAATTTGGTATGAGTGCATCTAGACTCTTGATCATAATATGTAAATATTTGCACGAATAATATGTAAATATTTGAATTACGTATATATATATATATTTTTTTTAACATAAATTTCATTTTTAAATAATATTTTTGCTATTTTTGCAATTTTTAATAATTTTTAAATATTTCGAAACTATATACTTTCTATATTAATTTATTATATTGTAATAATGCTATATTAAATTATTATTAATATTTATACATAGGTGTTATTTAAAAATAATATAAATTATAGGTATTATTATATTTATTACATAGATGTTATTAAAAAAAAAAAAAAAATATCTTCACTTCATTTCAACAAAAAATTTGAATAAAAAAACTTGACAATTACCTTCTAATGAAAAAGAAAAATGAAAGTCAAGAATAAAATAAACAAAAATTAAACGAGTCAAGAGACCAACAAGAGAGCATTGACCTCTTTCCAACATGCTCTTGCACTTTCGCAATTATGTAATTTCTATAGCGTCTACACGATTTGCTCGACCTTGATGAATTTATTACCAACGAATCCTTTTTTCTCACAATACAAATCTTTGAAAAACTTTTCATCCATTTTATTCATTCGAACGAAATAGAAATTAACTTCAGACTATATTAGTCCAGTTCACTCGTTGTTATTAAAAATGAATCTGACAGTGGACAGATTTTGTTAAAATAATTAAAATAATTTGTATTTTAAATTTTTTTTAAATTTATATTACTTAATTTGATTATATCGTACTAATTTATCGATGAATTATTTTATATTTTAAATTATTTCTCTGTTTCACTCTTGGAAGATATAATTTACATTATTTTTCACAATATTTGAATTGAATTTAATTAATTTCTTAAATAAAACTCTTCCTTGTCGTATCAATATTATTTTTTCAAACTTGAAACGGAAAGAACTTATTTAATAATTCATTGGTTGTTTAAAATTAATTAATTAGTTGGTTGAATTAAAAATAACGATTTTTCGATATTAATCATTTCAAATAATCTCTCTATTATATTTAATTTCTTATAATAAAATTGTGATCGTTTAAATCGTTTCAGATCCGAGCCTGATGAGAGAAGACAATTGCGTCTTTCCGATTCGAGACGCGGAAATTTTTCATTGAATTCGTGTTAATACAAAAACGCAACATCGAGAAACAGCCCCGGAACTGGTTGGTAAATATGTCTCTGGTTATGTAGTGCGTAAAAGTTGGAGTGAAATTGCAACGTGTGACGCGTAACTGGATTATAATTCCTGAAAGAAATTTATTTACAACATTGCACGAATATTCCAGGAAACGTGATACGATCTTACTTTGTTAGGTTAGGTTAGGTTAGATTAGGAATTTAGAAAAAGTGCGTAGAATGTTGATATATTCGAGGGGGATCGATTCCAGAAGCGAAAACGAACACAAAAGTATAGAAAAATATCGATCGAAGCTTACTTATTAAATTATAAGCAATTGAAATTTGGAAAAAGATGTATTAGGATATATTAGGAAGATGTATTAATATCCCTGTATATTTGTAAATAAGAAATGATAAATTTGGATTAATTTTTGAAAATAAGAATATATGAGAAATAGATTTTTTTTTTTTTTTTTGATTATGAGGTCATTAATCAAATTGAAATTCAAAGTTCAAAGATGTCTTTAAAACAATATTTTCCAATCAATATTGTATTGTAACCCATTACAAAAATTTTACTAAAATTCGACAAAATGTATAATATATTTAATATATTTAATATTTTTTTATATACTATTTATAAATAATCCTAAGTTAATCAATGAAAAATAATTACTGGAATATATATATAACGTTAATATATATATATATTATTATTTATATATATTATTAATTATAATATTATCTTTTAAAGAAACAATAAATTATAATGAAGCAAATAAATATTTTCATTAAAAAATTATTGTGTGGCAAAAATCTAACTATTTTTGTAAAATGTATGATAAAAAGGTTGAGAAACACTGATCCGAAATAATGAATGAAAAAGATGTCAAAATATTTTATAAACGAATATAGTAAAATTTTAATATTTTAAGATAAGTAGCACGAGACAACGATAAATAATACTATTGCTTCATTATAAAATTCTCACTGGCAATACAACTTGCCATATGTAATATAAACAGCTAATATAATATCCAAGAAATTATAGGTACTAAGGAGCAATGAAACGTATGTCGGCAAGATTGCAGGTAATTGTGTCAAGTTGGAATCGTGATAGGAAGAAAAGCCGGTTGAGAATTACAGTGACAAGCAAATGTAGAATCGGAGAATCTTTCAAGGTTATTTCCGTCTTAGAAATATAATGTTGGTAATGTATATGTTTTTTTTTCTTCTGAACTCTTATGATACATTAGAGAGCTCTGAAATCCATCTGTATATATTCTTTGAACATGGCTCAAAAGTTCAAAAAGTCTTTTCAAGTAATTCATTCATAGTTCAATAAAGAGATTCTTAAATTATGAAAATCATTTTCAAGGAATATGAATTATATTTATTGACTTGATCCTTCGATTATATAATATAACTGTTTTCCTTTGAATATATGAATATAGATAATTACAGATAAAAAAATTGATAAACTTATTTTTATTATTTTTCCTTGTCATCTAATTAACATTGATATTCTAATTAATTAATTAATATTTGAAAAAGGTAAAACTTGATTTACAAAATTCAAATTACAACTATTTTAATTATAGATTATGTCTATTATAAAAAATAAAAAATATTATTTATCAATTTTCTTTTGTAGGTTTTATATGTAATATGTAAATATAGAACCCTTTTTTTTTAATCGAATGTATAACTTTCCTTTTTCCTTTCTCTTTTTAAATTAAATTAGATAATAAACCTTCTTATAGAGAAATTGATCACTGAGAAAGTATCCATATGTTATTATCTCAATTTCAAAGCATTTGCATACTTATTACCATATAGATGAATAAAATAAAATAAAATAAATAATATAAAATAAAATGAATAATACGAGTAAAAAATTTATTCTAAAATTACCAAAAAGAAGAAATAAAAATTCATATTTTTTTAAATTCATAAAATTCATAGAATACTTCAAGATCTAAACCAGTGATTCTCAACCAGCATTTCTTACAATCATAATCGTTTCATAATTTCTAAAAAAAAAAAAAAAAAATCATTAATCTAATCCTCCAAAAATACATTTCACAAAAAGAAAAAAAAGTATTTTCAATTTTTCTTACCAAAAATGAATTGAACTCACAGAAAATAATATCGACGATTCATACATACAACACCATAATCAATCGTATTTACATTTATTTACAAATCAATTAATGAAAAATATCGGTAATTTGTCTTTCTTTTTTAGGATACTATTATGCGATACTAAACTTTGAAAAACGATGAACGAATTTTTCACCGCGATTTCGAAATTAAGATAAAAAAATCGGATCGGTTGAAAAGCAGGAAGCACGATTCTCGACCACACGCGATCCGACGTTCTTAATGGACTGAGAGGGCCGATTCGATCACACCACACTACATACTTTCTATCTACATGGGAGTAGGAAGAAAGCTGTAAGAAGTGGGGTCTATTTCAATTTAAATGTAAAACTTAATTTTGGTGAAAGTTATCTTTTTTTGGATATAATTTTTTTTATATAATTTATAATTTAATGCTGCTGATATTACATAAAGATAATGTATGACTCTGAAAAGAGATTTGCAAAATGGCTGCCCAGGGTATATGATATTTTTTTATTTGATAAGAATACTGTTTCCCTACAGTATTCTTATTTAAATAATTTTATAATTTACAATGCAATGAATTTATTTTACATTATACAAAGAGAATTATAAAAGTTTCTCAAAGGTTGTTAAAATTATTTTATATTACATTGAACAAACTGTTATAAAAGTAAAGAAATATTTTTGCTTGCAATTAATTGTACAATTTTTAATATAATTTTCTAACATTGCAACGTTTTGTTTATTTAATTATAATTATATTCACCAATTTCTAAGAATTACAGTTTTTGAGACATTTTCTTTGAATAATTGATTTTGCTTCGTCACTTTGCGTCACTACTGTAATTATGAGAAGAAAAGGTCGTAGGTTATTAGACAAAAGGAAGTCATGTCTCAAAAAATTTAAAAAACACTAGTGTAATGCAATGATGATCGACAAGTTAGTTTCGCAAAAAGGGAAGACGATTGACGTTGATTTAGCTGAAGCTAATTTGCGACAATTTCCAGTGGTAATCGAATGGAAAATAATGTAATTTCGTTTGAATTTGATGTTTTGAAAGAATGTATTGTAACAAAGTGAATTATTATTATTCAGTAAATTTAATAACTTTTAATATTTTTATTTAAAATTCTAACTAAATTTTAATTATGTTTTTTTGTAGTTTTCTTGTCATCATTTAAGATGTTTATACATATTTATACATTTTTATACAATTTTATTTTATTTATAAGATTTGACATTTTAAAATTAGAACATCTTGAAGTACTTCTCAGATTAATAAATTTCATTATCAAGCAAATTTCATTACAATAAAATAAAAACTATAAACAACTATAAAGTGACAATAATACAATTGGTAATTTTATTTTTTCTATTTTAAAAAAGTTAATCTGAATATGTAATATTGTATTTATTATTCAGAAACATGAAACTGTGAGTCGAATTAAATGGTTGTATCTTTCTTTGTTAAGATAGATATTGTGCATCATAAGTTCAACTATTATACAGTATTTACTTACCACAAAACAATAAAGATGAATATAATTATTACAAGTCATTGAATGGAAACATAATTAACTTTTTCTTACCATATCTTAATTATTTAATGAAAAGATTTCATATTTATAAAACAAAAATTATTTATTACATTTCTGTTAACAACAATTTTGCTTATATCCCATTTCTAAAATTTCTTAATATTCATTTAATCACTTTTAGAGAGTTGATTCTAAAGAACAAAATAAATATAAATGTTGATGTGCAAAAATAATGATTGAAGCTTATTTACAAGTTAAATTATAAGCGATTAAAATTTGCGTTAAATAAAGCGAAATAGAGATAATAAGATAGTGATGTGACAGAGACAGAGCTATTCGTTTAATTTCAATAATTTCAATAATAATTCGTAAATTTCAATTGGATATAACTCAATAAATAAATCTCAATTGATATTTTTGCGTTTCTTTTAGCTGAAAGAATTGTATTTCCTTAAGTGTTCCATGAATATATATACATATATATATATTTACATCCTGTAAAAATGAAAACTTTCAAGAATCAAGAAGAATTAAAAATCGTATAATATAAACAAGCAGCATTAAGGTCCATTTTTGCGTAAAGATTGCGTAATCTTCGAATTAAAGGATAAGTATTTCAATCTTTGAAGAATAAAAGCTGTGACCGTGACATAAATTATATACCTGTCATCATAGATACGCTCTTGTTCTCTTGATTGTTATCACAATCTATTTCGTAATTGCCTACTTTTCTCATTATGTGTATATATTACAAAGATATTTTATGCGAAAATGCGAAACTTTAATTTTTTTAATGTACAAATTTTTCAAGAACATAAACACTTGTAACATTTTTTGTGACGTTAAATGATGGTAAAATGCATATTTAATATAAAATCATCCACGATAAATTACACAATACAAAACAAAGATATAAATGAACTGTATTCGAAGTATAATTTAATATTTCTTTTAATAGAATTTTTAAATAAAATTAATTTAAAAAAAATCTCAAATAACAATAAAAATAAGAAATTTACGTTTCAATTAAAGTTATACTTAAAAAAAAATCAAAAATCATACTTTTGAAGCATAATAATTGTGTCACGAAAAGCTTATCTACTTACTGTGCATAATAATAGAAGCATAATTTGTACAAATTATGCTTCTATTAAAATAATAAAAAATTTTTAAACAAATGATGAAGATAAACAATGACAGAAAATTTTAAATCCTTTTATAAAATCTATGAAAAACTATTCTACAGATAAATGATTATTAAGACTTAATATTGGATATCAAAAATCATAAATTAAAATGTCTTATTCAATTTTCATTATCATCATTCTTAATTTCATGTAACTTTTATTAAATTTAAATCTAATTAAAAATTTATTTTCTAATCTTCTAATGTAAAAACATTCTTAAATAAAATATACTTTAAGTATTAATTTCACTTCCTCGAAGAGATTTTCCATCAATAAAACAATCCTACTTCCATATCGCTTGATCAAATCGCACATATACACAAGCTTTCATTCAATTTTCAGGTTAGGTTTCCTTTTAAAGTAATATTGCATAATAAGGACACTTATACATCGTTGGCTGGGTAAACATTTAGCATAAATCTCAATGCATGTACCATGTCTAGATTAACTAAGAGGATCTTTTCGAAAAGGATCACGGGGCCAAACGGTCACGCGTGCAATTCGCTAACTAAGGATGTTGCAATTATATGTCGTCGCGTTTTCATTGAGTTCGTTAGGGAGATCGCGAATAGATTGTGTAGAGGGGGCTGCGAGTGTATTTAGTAAGAGTTTTGTAGCTGCTTTGCGACTCTCCCTTCGATTTTGCAATCAATGACCACAGCTACTGTAAATACGATGCTCGCGCTTCTGCGGTGAATCCAATTAATATTAGTAATCGCGTGGAGAATGTCGCAAAAATACGCAATTCGTATCATTTACTTATGTTACTTAGTTTGTTTTTCTTCAATTGTAGAATTATTTCTCAAGTTATTGATATCACAAATAATGGATTAATATAGAATATCGTAGAAAAAGCGATCTTAAAACGGATTTGTGTAACGCGTTATTGACGTATACGCGTAATTCATAATATGAAATATTATTACAGGGTATTTTAGAAAAAATGATAACAAAACTTTGTTTCGCTATCATTTTTTCCCTTTCACGATTCATTTAAAGGACTGAGAATTATCAATATGTTATTAATATGTGATTAATTATATAGAATATTAATATAAAATGTTCCAGAAGAAGCAATCCCAAAATGTCCAATCTATCTTTTTTCATTCTTTTTTTTTTCTTTTTTATTATTTCTTTTTAATAATATATTTGAAGGATTAAGAATTATCGAATTACTGATGATATTAATATAGATAAATAAAACGATAACTTTCTTTTTTTCTTTTATAATATATTTGAAGGGCTGAGAATCATATTGATACAAATCCAGAAAATAAAAATCTATTAGTTTAAGTTATTTCAATAAATTATTATATATTTAATTTTAGCAGCCTAAATTTTTATATAATTGAATATAAATTTTTAAAGAATTTATAAAAAGAAAATTAATATTCAAATCAAAAGATTGATCTTTGCACACAGAAATTATATATGGGCGGTCATATAATAAAAATGATAATTTAGTATCTCCAATCGATTATAAAGTCGATTGTAAAGTCATCGTTTCGTAATATAACATACCTAAAATCAGCAAATCTAAAAATAAAATTCTTGTATTCACCACAATGATCGAATACTTTTAATGAAAATTTTAAAAAGCGGAATTTAAAAAAAAAAGAAAAAGAACCGATTTAATTAAAGTTGCCGAAACTGAACAATTCAACAAATGAATAAAAATATATAAATTATATAAATTAAAACAAACAAATAAATTGCATATTTTGTGAAATGTGAAAATCTAACTGCAATCTCACAAAAGATATTCACGATGTGTAACTAAAATGTCAGAAAGTCACCGGATTGTAAAATTTATGAGACTTTAAGTCGTGACCGAAATTTTTTAGAGACTTTTCAGTTTCGATTCTAAAAGTATACATATATATGCAAAAACTATATTATTCTATTGATCGTACAATGCATATTAAGTGATATAATATTTGTAATGTAATAAATATAACAATCTTGCACAACATTTATTTTACAATATTGTACACTATAATAGAATGTAAAATTTAGCTCTGTTAATTGTAATAACATGATATCGTATTACGTAATAAAATGTATTGTAATATACTGGCAAATGTTATATTATATATATATATGTGATATTGAACATATATTGATATTCAACATTAAAACTAGAAACTAATTCACCTTCAATTAAATCAAAAGGAGTTCGATTTAATTCAATTAATATTCCAATAAATATCAATAAATATAATACAATAAAATTGAAAATTTAATTTTATTTTGATAATTTAAAAATTCATAAAATGAAAATGTTTCAATTAATATTATTAATCTAAATACTATAAAAAATAAATTAATTTCAAAAGAAATTATTGTTGCTACTAAATTAGGTATTGAAAATCGAAATAATTACAATTAGAAATTCAACCAATAAATAATACAGGATAAACTCCT